TAGCGGGAGGCGAAGATGGCGGCGGCGTGGGGCGCGCTGCAGCCGCGCTGAGCCCCGTCCGGCACGGCCCCGCCATGAGCTGCTCGGAGGACGCGGCCAAGGAGCGGCTGCTGTGGAGCGTGAAGAAGGAGGTGAGTGAGGGAGCCCCGCGTCCTGCTTCCCCCTCTGCCACAGGTGCCGGGCTCGGAAACCCCTTCCTCCCGCCTCCTCAGGATGGTCCCTCTCCAAACGGACGGGTTTCCACATGGCGCCAAGGAAGCCCCTTCTCCCAGCCCTCCTCGGGGTGGTCCCTCTGACGGGACGCGTTTCAAGACCCGCAGCCTTTTATGCGGCGAGTTCATCGGCTCTCTTTGCCCGTTTAAAGCAGTCCGTAAAACGACGCTTTGTGCGGGCGGGAATTGAAATCTAATTTCCCTCCCCGAGGCTGTGAATGGGAAGTTGGAGGCTTTGTTTCGCTGCGATCGGATCGGTTAACGCTTTCGGCGTCTCCTTCTGGGAAAGGTTACCTTTGCGGTGAAGTCCGTTTCCCAGATACCGAGCGGTTACGGAGGGCCTGGGTGCTTGTCTGAGCCCCCCTCTCCCTTTTGAGGTGAAAACTCCTCTCGCCACTTACATAACTCAGTCCGGCATCGCCTGCATGGCAGAGGACCGGCCCTGTGAAATTAATGGCAACGGGGAAGTTCCCAGTTGAATAGAAGAGACCCCCCCCCCCCCCAACACCGGGGGAGTCTGCTGGGAGATAGGGCTTATGCTTGATTATTTTTGGTAATTTTCCCTTTGCCTGCCCAGGGCAGGGAGTGGGGTGACGGTACCGAGATGCCGCTTTTATGCTGGCAGGGTGCAGAGGGATGTTTGCTCCACGATGCCAGAGCCCTGTTTCCTTATGGAGAGGAAAAGCTCTTTTTTCCTCTCCAGACATGGGCCAGCTTAGTAATGCAAGAGCCCGGGAGGAGGGTGTAAGGGTCTGGTCCGTATGCAGCAGTCTTGATGCCCTGAGCAGCTAAGAGTTCGTGTTGTGATCCCATCTGACTGCAAGCGATAGTGCTCAGGCTGGAGACTGGTCCCACCTGGCCTTCAAATCCTGCTCATTGCTAGAGGAAGCTTTTAAATTGCCTCCAAGTTCTTCCTTTTGGGGAGGTTATTACACAAGGCATCGTTGTACCTAAGGAGTCGCTCAGGTCCCTTGGTGTCTGTCTTTAGTGCTATGATGTGATTTGCCTAAATATTTCCGTTGTCGTGATTGGCCTTTGTTCCATTGCAGAGGTTGAATCCTGCATGCCTTCTGCACCCAAATGTCTTTCATTTCACTGACCTACAAAAAACTAGAACTCTTGGTTCCAAAATGATACCTTTTATTAGACCAACTGGAAAATGGCGAGAAAATTGTCCTTTTCTGCAAGCTTTTGGATCAAAGTTCCTTCGTCAGGCTCTGAGAAAAGTGTAGATGTTACAAGATGGTAAAAAGTCCCCGTAGGTAGGAAATAAACTTAATTTTTGTACAGAGGGAGCTGAAGATGGAAAGCTGTCCCTCTGGGTCGGTGAGAGTGTCTTTGTGAGCTTATTTCACTGGCTTTGCTGTAAGCCCAATCCTTGTAGGTCCTGGGATGGGGATCTGGGGGGAAACAGGTGTGCATTGGTTAGCCAGGATGTTAAAAAAATCTAGGAAACTAAATGAATCTCCTCTGCATGCTATGAGAGATTGCCCTCCAGGTAAATCTGTTTCTGTTTGTTTGCAAAGTGAAATGCAAAGCCCACAGTTGAATCAACATTAACTAGAAGTCCATCAATATACAATGATGAGGGATATAGTTTCCCATTATCAGGGCAACATTACACCACACCAGCAATCTTTCTCCCTTAACAGTACTTAAATGACTCTTATCTAGTTCCTGTTGTCCCAGACCAGAGCAGCGGTCTCTCTAGTCCAGTATCTGGTTTCCAGCAATGGTCAGAACCAGATGCTTTGAGGGAAGCTGCCTGTGAAATGACCCACCCACAGAGCAGATTTTCTCCTTGACGTCTAACTAGTTAGAGACTGGCTTCACCCTTTGAAGTCTGGGCTTTTATATTCCCTTCAAAAGATGCAGGGTCTATGAAGCTAATGAAACTTAAAATCAAGATTGTGCTATGGTGACAAGAGGAAGCACAAAAGGCAGGGTTCTTGCTGGAGCTAGATTTACACTCTGCTGTTTGCATTTTCTTTCTACTCCAGAATGGGGCTGCGGTGGTGCCAATTTGGCCAGGGGTGATTTTACAAATTGCTCTTCATTTGAATTGCACTACTTCAACTGGTGTCTGAAAGATACCAGCTTGGTCTTAGCATGTCCAGTGTGAGTTGGCTCGTGGAAATCCTGCCTGTGGAACCAGACAGATGCCCAAATTCATCTTTGCATAATCAATAAAGGCATAATGGAACAGCTTGTGCCAGGACTATAACCATAAATTAGCACTGGAAAAGACCTTCTGGGTTATCTAGTCTGGCTATGCTGCTCTATGAACTGTACTTTCTGTTGACTGCAGGATAGCAGCATATTTGTGGTTTATGAGGCAGGCATTGGGCAGAATGTGGTTGTGATTGACCTAGACCAGCCTGTTGTTGAGGCTTCTCCTATAACTCACCCCACACCACACTTCTGCATGTTTCCTGAACCACAAACCTCGTACTGGCTTTATTCTTTTCTCCTATGCATCCTTGGTGTTGAGTGCAGCTTAGATGCTTTGCTTTTTCAACAAAGCTTATTATTTTGCATGGCATTTTAGAAGTTGATGAGATCCTAGTCCCTCATATCTCCACTCTGCTGACAGTTTAGACCCCACCTGATAGCATCATTAATTGAATATGGCAGGTTGGAGTTTGGTTTTTAATACCTGGACTTTCATTAGGGTGCTGAGAACACTGGTGTGGCCAAGGTGGCAGGTGCATTTAATTTGCCTTGAACAAAAAGCCTGGCTGCTGCCCTATCCCCTCACAGCTTTGCCTTGTTCCTGAGCATAGGACTGAACTCCTGCAGGCATGCATGCACCTAGCCTGGCATGTAAGCTGCATGGAAAATACTCCAGTGTCTGCAGCTTCAGAAATCTGTGCATCTCGGCATGGGAGTGAGAGAGAGGTCCAGCTACTATTCCAGCAGTCATGCTTAGTTATGATTATACTGAGCTCATAGATTATAAAGTGCCTTAAAACAAACAGGAACGACAGCAAGTTAGTGGCAGAGGCTAAGTATCCTGCGCACTCGCCTCTAGCTCATACTGGCCGTGTCTGCACGTGTGTCAATGCGTTTTAATTCACATTAAATCTAGTACCTCCATAGTGAGGTACTAGAAAATGTGCATTAGTCTGTCTTAATGCACATTAACTAAAGAGTGATGGGCATGCTCCCGAGATGGGGGAAGCTTTAATTAGAGCGGCTCCAAGAGCTGCTCTAATTAGTGCTGCAGCATCTCACGTATTAGTGTCCCTGCACTTCAAAATGGTGGTGGGGGTGCTTGAACTGAAGCTTGTTGAACAAGTTTTAGTTAAAGTGCCCCTGCTGCAATTTTGAAGTGCAGGGATGCTAATGCACAAGACACAGAAGCTGGTAATTACTGTGCTCCAACAGACTTGGACGCTGTTGTGCTGTAATTACAGCGCATCGGAGCAGCCCCGCGACATGTCTGCAAGCACCCACCATTTTTAGTGATGCTTTAATGCGCGTTAGCCTATTTTAATGTGCATTAACTAAAGAGCATAGCTTCTTAGTGATGCTTTCATGCACATTAATGTAGGCTAATGTGCATTAAAGAGCACGTGTAAATGTGCCCACTGTCTCTGTAAGATCAGGGATTAGGGCCCTCCGTAAGAGTAGGAGCAGGGTCATGCTTCTGAAGAGCACATTCAGTGTGGTCTTTTTCCTTATAACAAGCTGCCATGGCTGGATTCAGCCTTGGGGTGTGGTGAGGTGCAAGGAGAGGTAAGGGGAATTTTCTTTGTTAAAACTGCGTGTGTGTGCGTGTGCTGTAGAGCTTAAACTTCTTTTTAAACTGTTTATTTTGTGAAGCCCTGAACTGCTGTTCCCCATGTTATGAATATACCCTTTCCCCTTGTACTTTATGCTGTTGATTGAATTGCTTTCTGAATACCCCATAGGTCATGCAGTCTGCGCTTAGCAATAAAGTCATTTATCCCTCAAAATCCTTGGGTTTAGGGCTGCTTGCTTTCTCAGAATCCCTTCTGTTGCTAATACATTAGCTTCAGCATTTGTTCCTATTTAGTCTTTTCAGTGTTGCTTTTTGGAAGTGGGTAAGGTTGTTTTTGCTGCTGTCTGGCATCTTGTTTTGTTACTTGGAGAATGTTAAATTCTTTGTAGCTTTCTTGGTTTTAGTGCTTGGAGATGGTAGTCTCAGTGGGTTTATGGTGGCTCATGTATAGGAAACCTAAAAGCTTTTGTTCCTGTAGCATAGTGTAATAGCTGTAGAGGTATGGGAGCTATCAGGAATGAGTGGCAGCACAGCCTAGTGATTGGAGCAGGGCACTGAGAGACTTGAGATGTGGGCTCCCTTGTATGCAGTTGCACTTACGCATGCCTTTGGGGAAAATCACTGAAGCTCTGTCTCTCTCTCTAGCCCAGTTCCCTATCTGTGATGATCATCTAGGAACTTCATGCTTGGCACTGTGATAGCAAGGAAATAAATTAGATCCGTAGAAAACTACTGATAGAGATAAAGAAAAATCTGCTTTTGCGATTCATGCTGTCTGTGCTTCCTGAGCAGGATGACACTTCAGCTATCAAATTTTTAAGCTTTTTTTTTTTTTAAAGCAGAAAAGGCAAATCCCTGTTGACTTGTAGCAGTATAGGGGCAATTGCACCACTGAATAATTCCGATCCCGCCTGTTAGGGGGCAGAGGGGATGCACATCAGTCAGTGCCTTCCCCATCTTGCTTGCTGTGTTAAAGGCCCTTTGGCTTGCCCTGCATATAAAGCTTGTATGCAAAATACTCTTTTGTGCATTCATCTGCATTACGTGTTGCAGCTGAGGAGGGAAAGCATCCAAAATCCTAAAGTGGAATCAGCTAGTGCCAAACTGAGGCAGGATCCAGCAGAGACGAGACAAACTCTTCAGGAAGTAGTGCTGGTATGTGGCATCCTAAATT